AGCGTCGTTCGGAGAAGACGCAGAACAGCAAAGAAAAGCATGAAGAGAACTTCTTTTGGCATAGATCCAAGAAAGCAAAGCAGTAGAGATGTCCTGTGATTAGTCCTTTCTTGAGCCCAGCATTTCCGCATCTGAACACTCAGCCTCACAGGATCTTCATGAAAAGTGTTCTGTTTTACCTGTTTTAGAAGGTTTTCCATTTTAAAAACCCACATTTTTAAAATACAAAAATATTTGAGAAGTATAAAAATATCCTTATCTGAAAGTTTTAACTAAGGTAAATAATTTCTTGACTCTGAGAAGTCAACCTATTATTACTTACTACATTTGAACAGCTCATATATAATTAAGGTTAAAAGATAATTACCAATGTATATCAATTGCCCCCTAATCCATCTTGTAGAAACAAAGTGTCTTAGTAGTTTATTGAGAAGGCTCATTGTTTGGGGCACACCTATGGTTAGGAAGGGTTTCTTTAGAGGAGCAGAGCTTATCTGTGTCATGTCGGTGGTTTTCGTGGCAGAATTTAAGGAAGCTTGATACTTTCTGCCATGTTGTAAGTAAGGCCAAGTAGAGATGCCACTGGCGGGATGAATCTGGGTTTGTCTCCTAACCTCTGCGATCCAGGCTTCCAAAAATTGTCCACCCTATGTGATGTTCAAGCTTTGTTTCAGTAAACGTTTATGTGCCAGATACCACTTCGTTAAGGTAACTTTAAGAGGTTATAGATATCCTCATTAAGCCAGTTATAATAATAATAATAATAATGCTTATAACTGCTGTCTGTTGGCCTTTTCTTTGAGCTAAGTATTGTGCTAGATCCTTTATACGTTTTAATTTTGAAGACAATATGCCTTCCCATGATTTAGTTGAGAAAACTAAACCTCAGGTTAAGATTACACACACACAGAAGTGAGTGGTCAAGTTGGCATTTGAACCCAAGCTTATCGCATATCAGAGCTCTTTATCAAGTTCAAAGCAATCTTCCCAATTAGTACTAATCAGAGTTTTACTAGAATGATTTTAAAAACTGCAGATCGTATAATTTATTAAAATTACTATGGAATTTTAATTTTCTATAGCACCATTTCTAGATCTATGGCACTAGGAAAATGATACGTGTTAGAAGCATTTACTCTGCTTCAATTTTTAAACAGCTTGTTGTCAGAAAATAAATCTGAACTGACATGTCTTAATTTTCCTCATTTCTTTTGTTGGATCGGTTATGTTTGTGCTAACTGTGCGGGGGGAGTCCAGGGTTGTGGAGAACCTGCTTTTGGCAGAGTGTATATTGAACTGTGAGTTTAAGTATCACTTGTTTCTTTACACTGTGTTTGAGTCAGAGCTACACAAATGTAATGATAATTGCCTATGTTCGCTTGGATTTTTTACTGGAAATCCAAAAAAAAGGAAAAATACATGGATGTCATTCTCTCTGTTAACAGTTTATACAAAGCCGCAGTTGCGCAGAGCAAGGCAGCTTACACAGCTCTCGGACGCAGGCAAGATAACTCACTGTGTGTGTCCGTCTGCTTTTACAGGATATCTTGTTCATCTAAAATAGCTTTTTACTGTTAACATATTTACTGTTAGGTTCATGCCGAATATCACATATTGACAGCATAATCAGTCACGTAGTGATAAGCCCGAAAATTGTTTCCTTTCAGCTGTGATAAACAAAAGCCCCCTG